TCAGCCCAACTCATATTATAGGATTATTGTGGGCAAAATAAGAGGAGAAAGGTATGTTGGATATATAAATAAATACTATAAACTAAGACAATTATAAAAGGTAATGAATACTAGAATTTATAAAATACTATCAGAATGTAAGGCAATGCTAACATATCTTAAGTCTAATACTTGCTGAAGCCTTGTTAGGGTTTATTTGAATTAAAACCATAACATAATTTTATATAATTATAACAAAAAATAAAAATGTGTTGATGTTTAAAAGGAGAAAGAGGGGAAGGGGAAGAAGGAAATAGGGGAGGAAAGAAAAAACATATTATGCAGAATAATTCCTCCTAAAGAGGCTCTGGAGGCTGGGGACAGTAAAAAAAGTCACTTCCTGTCCAACCGGAAGTTGGGAAATGGGCCGTTTCTGGCGTCCGGAGGGCCTCTGAGGGGGTGGGGAAGGCTGTTTTTCCCTCCCTAGACTCAGAGAGGATCTGGACCCAGGTGAGAAAGAAAAATGGGCCTATAGGGCCATTGCGTGCCAGGAGTGGGAGGTTGCATGCACAGGGACGGGGTGCATAGAATTATGGGTGGGGCACATGCGCACATGAAGCTCTCCAGGCCCCCCCTCCTGGCATGCAATGGCAAAAAGGTTAGCCATCACTGCCCTATATAATTCCAAACAAGTTGCCGTCTAATGTCTTCTTAAAAATCTCCAGGGATAAGCACCCACAACCTCTGAAGGCAAGTTATTCCACTGATAGTTTTCACTGTCAGGAAATTTCTCCTCAGTTCTAGGTTGGATCTCCCTTTGATAAGTTTCCATCCATTGCTCTAGAATGGGTTATCTCCTTCTTTGTGACAGCCTCTCAAACTGTTACTCAAATACTGACCTTTTTATTTAGAGCAGGGGTGTCAAACTCGTGTTGTCATGGCAGTGTCACATGACATATCGGGACTTTTTTCCCCTTTGCTAAACTGGGCGTGGGAGTGACCAGCACATGACGCATCCGGCCCGTGGGCTTGGGGTTTGACAGCCCTGATTTAGAGGCTAAATTTGGTGCTTCTATGAGCTGCTAGACAGAAAAACAATTCCTAGACAATTCCCACCTTTCTCTAGGCATCCTTGCAAAGAAGCTGAAACTTGTTTTTCCTCAACATTGAGAAAGCAACTTGTGTATATAAACAGAGGCCAAACCCTTAAGCACCGATGATGTTACCTAGATTAATAATAAAACATCTACAAGGAAACAACCAAACTCAGGGAGCACCAAGGACCCCCCAGTTCAACCCTGAACTACAAATATTCTTTTAGAATTACTATGTATTTTAGAGCAGGGTTTTTCAAAATGATTTCCTAGGATTCCACAAGAATCCCAACTTGAATGGATTCTGTCCCTCCTTCATTCTAGTGACTAATTTTCTATCACCTTACCATCGCCTCTTGATCAGGGGTTCCAGAATTTTTTTAGCTGAAATGGAAGTGAATAAAAAAAAAAACTAATAGTTTACAATGGAACATTTTTAAAAAGTAACTGAAGATTTCTTTGGGCAAAGAAGAAACATCTACTGTTTCTTCTGCCTCTTTGCACAATCTGCAGTTTGAATCAGTTGATTCTTTTATGTTGTGACCTTCATTGCATTAGTTCAAGTAGCAGCCAAAATTCAACAGTGAAAATTAAGCCTTTTTTAAAATGTTTCACTTGTAACCCATTGCTAGGTTTTATCTTTATCAACTTTCCACTTGATCGTTTGTAGAAATTGACTGTATAATGCTATTTCATGATAGCATTTTGTTCTTGTTTTTATTACATTATTTTGATAGCCATGTTTTCTTTCCAGCCCATTCAGTAAGTTCCAATTTTTAACTTGCATTAATGCTTGTTCTTGGCTGTCTTTTATGTAATCAGTCAGTGCATGCTTTTCTTTGACAGTTTGTTTGGAGGTATAATTTATCATTATGGAAATGAGTAGTCATTAGTTTTCTGGGTTTCAGCTTGTGTTCAATTAATCATTCCAACAGTATATCGTATCACAGGTATGCCACAGATATTGATGGCTTTCACAGTATTTCCACCATTTTTGCCTTTAGCACTTTTCTGATTCTTTGGATGTGATTTACCAATCACATTTTTAACTTGCCATATTTGATGTTATCCGATGATAAAAATGCCCAGATACGTATAGGCTTCATTCTGATAACTTCTGATGGCAATGGTTCTGATCCATTCAAAATTTCAATTCCATTACAGCAATTTTATTCAAATGTATTTTTACTGCAGCATATTACTCTAGCTCAAATTTCATTGCCATATCTGTATTAGAAATTCTTACCATATTTGTCAATTGTTGTATTTCAATTTCTAATTTTCTGTAAAGCATCAGATCGCCCATATAAAGCAAATGTGACATTTTATTAGCATTTTTGCTGTTTGGTTGCCAAGATTCGTTTTCTTCAAAGTCACTGGAACTAGAATCATAGCAATGACAAATAATAAGAGTGATGTCACTTTAGAAGATGACTCTCCTAATGTTGACAACACCATATTTTTATTTCCAACATCCATTTCAGTCTTCCACTGCTTATTTTTTCTATAGATATATATATATTTCCAATTTATATTTTTGACACATTATTATTATGGTTCATCACAGTCAGCACATGTTCAAATTGGACTTGGCATTTTTATTCGCCTACAAAGTCCTTCCCAAGGACCTGGGATAGGCAGATGTTATTATGGTGGGTTACAGTCAGCCAGATGATTAGGCTAGATTTCACATTTATTCATGTATCAAGTTCCAAGGATCTGAGATAGACAGATGTTGTTTATGGTGTTAACAGTATCATCTCAGGATGTAAATTATTCTAAGTTGCTTTTTGCAATTGACTGGTAATGATTTTGTCAATAATTTTGTAATGATAATATATTTTACCCTGCCCTTTTATACATAACTCATAGCTTCTTTTCCCCATTTCAACAACCCAGTGAAGTGGATTAAGGTGTGAAACAGCGACTGGCCAAAGTCACCCAGCTGACATATAGCAATTTTCTATGATAAAACTTTTGCATAATCTGAATGTTTTATAACCCTTGCAAGAGGTCAAATGGAAAAAATATTTCAGTTACTTTCCATATTAGTCAGTGTTTTATTTCAGGAAGCTTAATATTAATTAGGAATAAATCCAGCTTTGATAATTTCACTGCAGACTATGTCTCAGCTATGTTATCTTCAATCTAGAAAAAATATTTTTTAAAATATTAATAATGCCACAATACAGTAGGCTCAGTCATATCCATCTATACAGTTTACTTATAAAGAAATGATAGTCTCAAAGATTTTGAATTAAATTATAGAATAATTATCTAGCTCTTGAAAAATCTTTGTAAATTTTCTATGTTGTGACAAAACAGTATACATTTTATAATTACAATTACTACTGTTAATCAGACAGACCATAATGTTAACTGAGTAACGTTGAATTAGAAATTAGTGTATTACCCTGTTTCCCCCAAAATAAGACATCCCCTGATAATAAGCCCAATCGGACTTTTGAGCGCATAGCAATAAGGCCAAGCGCTTATTTCAGGGTTCAAAAAAATATAAGACAGGGTCTTATTTTCAGAGAAACACCATATATGTGTATGTCCATATGTGTGCACATATGCAACTTCAGTTTTTTTACTCCTAGCAACTGTCTGGATTAATCCCTGAAGTTCTCTTGTCAAGATTTCAGTTGTTTACAATTGCCTACTTCCAGGGCCGAGAGTGAGAGTAACTGCCCAAGCTCATCCAGCTGGCTTGGTACCCAACACAGGATTAGAACCAACACTTTCCTGGTTTCAAACCTGGTGCCTTAAACACTAAACCAAACTGGTTATAGTGTAAGCTGAAATTACTCCAATCTAAAATCAGGAAGTTAATAGGAAAATAATGAGCCAATTATTCCTAGAATGGGTATATTATAGCAACAGGGTTTAATATTAAATGGGCCAGTGCTTTCAAAGTCTGCTACTATTTACAATGTTGGGTATCAGCATTCTTTAGAGAAACTATGCTAAATTAATGCGAAGCAATTTTTAGTACAAATAACTATGTGTACAAAAACTTGTGAAAACACTGTTATGAAAGCTGGCATTTGTAAAGTTCCACATTTAAGTCTAGTTGCTGTTATGGCTGTTCTCTCTTATGATTTTAGAAAATGTTGTTCAAGAAAATCAGTAGATGATGATCTAAACCAAAGCCAAGAACAAACTTTACTATCATTACTTAACAATTACTAATGTTGAGAAATCTACTTTCCCTTCTCCCCTTTCTCTTCTGCCGTTTATAATGGGAAATGGGAATTCTGAATGCTAACCAAAAATATACATAAAGACTGAGTTCAGATATAAGGGAGCTTACTCTTTATGAATATGAGCCAGCTTCTCTCCACTATAGATTTCTGAGTTCCTCAAAAATATCTGGCACAGTCTTTAGTTAATCAAAATTTTATTATATCAAATCTAAAACTATACCCAGACTCAATCACTATTGGTTGCAACAAGCCCATTTCATGATTTGAAGTTGGAGTTTTTCAATTATTAGTATTTAAAGTTAACCATTGTTCATATTCGAACACAGTGCTAATCGTGGTAATGCTAAAGTGGAAGTGAAAACACCATAGCTGTATTTCAATAATGTACTAAGTTTCCATAGCAGTTTAATAAATATGCATGCATTGCCATCTTCACCCTCTTATGTTTCTCCTTGAGCAGTGACAGAGTGAAGCAATTGCATTTTCAGTGTACAAGACTCAAAATTTGAAAACCAAGTGGACTAAAGAAGAATGAAGTGAAGTCTATCATACCAATATGGGGTATAGAACACTGAATTTCTTAGGGGCCTATATTTTGGCGATGGAAAAAGCTATAGAAAGCAACACAAGAGTTAAGAAGTATTTTTAAAATTTACAAGATGGAAAAAAATCAAACCATAAAAAGAGTAAAGATATAGAGGTTTAATTAAATACCTACCATAACAATCAGATTGGCATTAAGAATCTTGTTCTTTTTTTCTCCTTTCATATTCTGCCACTTCATAATCATGGTGTCTGATAAGCTAAAAGATAATCATAGATAAATATATCAAACATACAAGGTTAGCATGTTCTTATGAACTTCTATTATTTCATTATAGTGGCATGACTACAACTTATACATTTAAAATACATTTATTTTACTTAGAATATTAGAGTTTCTATATTGTGAAAATGATAGAATTCAAATGATAATTTCAATATCCTTTAAGAGTCTACATTAGTTGCAAATTATTCAAACTTGCCAATTTCCAGTCTGGGGCTACATTTATACACCATGTTAACCCATAACAAGTTTGCACTAAGCCAAAACGAAGAATATTATGCATAAACCAATAGTGTTCCCAGCTATTCCCAAAATAGTGACCAAAATAATCTTTGGAAACAATTCTAACAGTAGCTTCCTGTTTGGAAAGGTAATTTATTCATTTCTCTATTTTAAAAGAGAACTAGATAACATGTTTCCAACCTATACGCGTAATGCTTTTAAGAGAGAGAAAGCCTAGGGAAGGTTATCAGCTTCAATCTTATCCAAGATATGTGCTATATTCTGACATCACAGTCAATTGGGTACATAATGGTTAGTGTGCCACAAGTACAACTAAAGTCCAGTTCCACCATTCTATGCAAGCTAGGACATCTAATCTAGAACCGATATACTGTTTTCTATTGGTGACATTCCACCAATTAGGAAATACATGTCATATAGCTCCTTGAGGTACATTCATGTTCATATATAAGGACAACTATGGAAAATGATCCATATAAGTGGTCAATTGATTAAAACTCAGGAAAAAATGTAAAAAATCACTAATTAAAAGTTACTTTGCAAATATTAATTTCATACATATTATTCTTACCATAACCCATAATAGAACAGTTGAAGAAAGACTCAGGCCAACTCTTATCCAGTTAGGATTGTTTGAATCTTCCCTTCCTATTTGGAATACTGAACGAGACAATGCTAAAATAAAAAAGTTTCAAAATACATTAGTTCTGAAATGAATGCAAAATAGTTTTGGAAAATAATTCTTCAGTTATGGATTACGCACATTTTTCCCAATTAAATCCAAAAACAATTAAGTCACATTATGACGATTTATTATTTGAGCCACAAATTACATTATTTGTGTCACAGGTTATATTTTCATAAGACAGACAAGATAGAAATAGGAAACAATTTTAGCTGAAGTGTCATAGTTGTGAATAAGTATGCAGTTATTAGATGAAATTGGAATTTTGTAAAGATTAATTCTTTTCATATACTGCACGGTTAGTTATATCAGAAGAAAAGTATAATACAGTTTATTGTAAAACACAACATTTAAACAGAATATAACAAACGGGAAGAAGTAATGGTGTTTTAAATTTAAAATAATTTGTTTTTAAACAAATCTATACCCTATCTTTTTACTCCTTAAAGAAAATGATTTTTTCCCCTACACTCATGTATGATCCCGGGGAGAAAAATATTTAAGGAGGTTCCAATGATAAGACCTTTTCCCTTCCAATCACTGCAGAGCGCTAAAAACAGGTATCCTACACAAAGTAACCCATCAGGCTTTCGATGGAAGAAAAAAAGAGGAATGTAACGACCGTGCAGTAATATGCTCATATGTTCATCACTCTGATAAAGAGATGCCACTGATGCACAAATACACCCAACTCGCTGCCCTAATTTGACCACACGGGGCACCGCAAATCGTTGTATGCACAGAGGGCTCAGCAAGATGGTCAAATAAGACCTGCAAGCTGAAGGTTATACGTTCAGTCTAGGGCGCAATACTCACACATTCATTCAACATGGGTCGGGCAACAGAACACTCATGCAAATTGAACGTTTTCCTCTCAATACCCAAGTCCGAAAAGAAAATAAATCCCACCCGAGACCATGCAACTCACGTGGAGTCACCTTCCTTGGAACCTGCAAAAACCACTTCGCAGCCCGCAAGGTCGCCGCCATGTTACTTTTCTTCTCTCGAGAGAAGCAATGAGACAAACGCACCAATCCAAGAGCAAGAGGGGCGGCTGCTAAAAAGATCTAAGGAAAGGATTTGGGGCGTCATCTATCGACAACTCGGCAAACTCCTCAAGTCAGCCGTAATAGAAGCTCATCTCCACATTGACATTCGTTTTTAATTAGGGTTTGGGTGTTTTGTTTGTTTGATGCTGTGTTCTGCTGTGTTTTTTATTTCGGGAACTAAAATATACACAAAGCTTGTTTTTCAAGCTTTTCTTGAAATCACTGCTGTTGATAGCACTCTCCGTTCTGTTAAATTCTGTTAAAGTGGATTGTTGTAATCGGAATTACAAGTGGATTGTAGTAATCAAAAAAATAATATCATAATAAATGTTATTCTAATCTCGTTGTTTTCATAATTAAAAGGTTGCACTTTTTTAAAAAAATAATTAAAAGCATGAAAGTTCAGATAGCTGAAAATGAAATTTTGATAGTAAATATTATTTATTTATTTATTTATTATTTATTATTTGGATTTATATGCCGCCTATCTCCGAAAGGACTCAGGACGGCTCACAACAATAAAACCCACAAAGTTCTATTTTTTTTAAAAAAAATACTCAATAAAATTATAAAAATCATTAAAATATTAATCTATTCAGAACAGAGTACTATAACACTTAAAAGGTTGTGTTGTTGTTCAGTCACTAAGTCGTGACCACATGGACCATAGCATAAAGGACTGTAGTCAATGAGTGTTACCTCTGTCCTACGTGTTTGTGTGTGTGTGTGTTATGTATGCACACGCACGTGCACATTTACCTGCAGGTAATCTTTTTAAAAAGTTGACTTCTGAATATGAAGTTTTCACATCATAAATTTCTGAAAATATTACTGAGTACAGAATAGATATAAAATTGGGCTTACATGCTTTCTAATGAAATAGAAAGGGTCAGTTACAAGATTACAATCCTTGTCAGCATCAAGTGTGTTTCTCAGTTTAAAAAGTGCTGATCATTTTGGAAACCATATACTATTAACTATAGTAATTCTGGGCTCCAATTTCAAACCTGAGGTTTCAGGAATGCTGCCTTACAGCTGGTTTTTCCAGTTTTTTGAGATTAATAATACAAGACTGTTGTAAGAAGTGGTAAAGACTCTGTCGTTATGAAGTTGATTGTATACTTTTATACTGGAGATGAAAAGAAACAGAAAATCTTAGAACGTCAAACTTGTTTTCCTACCCAATTTTTAATTGGAATTTTGTGCTACAGGTTCCAAAGTGACAACTATTGTCTTTTTAAATAACTAACATCCATTTATTTTTTATTTATTTGTCAAGCATATATAACAGGTAAAAGTGTAAACATAATTTGAATATATGAAAAGAGTAATAGTAAAAAAGATTAGGACAGGGACGGTAGGCACGCTGGTGCTCTTATGCACGCCCCTACTATAGATACTGTGATAGTGGAGATCTAGGTGTAGCTTTAAATGTAGAACGACATTAAATGCCAGATATTAAAGACATGACAGGCTATTTTCCTTATGCTTTGGGGGGGCTTCATACAGGCATCACGTGGGCGATTGCGAGGAATGGCTGTTTGCTCTGACCATGCACTTAGTTTGAATATTACAGTTTTAAGTTATAATACTCTTTCTCCAGGACAATTCCAGCAATCTCCATAGCTCCTATGATTTTAGTCCTCCGGTTCGGTTTCCTTTTGTAAGAATGAGTCAAGCCTCATACATGTGTACAGTTCTAAAATCCTGAGGGAATTCAACAGCATTACTCGCACACGCTCATTTTCGCAGTTTCGGAGCTCAGTCAACGCGCAGGCGCAACACTTCCCCAAGACACTGCGAGAGATTTAAGATTGGTCCCATTTCCCGACTTCCCCTGTTGCTGCCATTTAAGTCTGTGGAGAAAAGACAGGAAGAAGGGAGGAGGGGGGGAAAGGGGGGTCATGACGCATGCGCGCAAGTCGTCATGACCCGGCTGGGGAAGCCCACACTGGCGGCCATTTTGGCGGCGCCTCCTCTCTCTGGCCTGCTCAGTTACCACGTGAACCGGCCTCCGCCTGGGGCTTGCTGCGGAGCAGGGGTAACCGGGCACAGGCATCCCGGCGGCAAGGGAAGCCGCACAGAGTTAGAAGGGGAAGTTGCCGTAGCAAACGACGGCAGTGCTGGTGGTAGCGACGCCCTGGCGTGGAGTCCCTCCTGAGAGGCGGCGGTAGGGGTGGTGATCAAGGGAGCAGGTTCACCGGCCCGGTCGTAGCAAGAAGGGCGGAGGCGGCGGCGGCGGCGGCGACAGCAATAGCAGGGACAATGCCGTCAGTGAGCCTCCCGCCGAAGGAAAACGCGCTCTTCAAGCGCATCCTGGTGAGTGAAAGAAGCCCTCGTCTAAGCCTGCCTACCTACCCGCCAGACGGAGTTTTTCCATGAAACTGGGGCCCCAAGGGATGCTTATCAGCAACTCCCGGGTCAGAAACAATGTCTCCCGTTTTCGTTTGGTTTGAGCTCTGCTGACAAATGCAACTTGGACTTTTAAAGGATCTCCCGGCCATGTCAGCGTTTCTTGTTCCAGAACTGCCCGTAGAATGTGTTGGCCATGCTTTACTTCATCACGCCCCGGGGCCAGCTTAGAAGGGATTTGGTTGCTGAGAATGGCTATTCTCTGGTTTTAGAAGCAAGTAATAGACAAGCCTTTGGTGGGCAAAACAATAGGAAGGACAGAGCAAAAAAAAACAAGCAAAAACCGTTTGTTCAGTGAGAGGCAGATTGCAAAAATAAAATCTGGGGTTTTGTGGTTCTTTTATTTAAAAGAGAGAATTAAAAGTCAGACCACTGTTATCTTGTTTTTTCATTGACCTGAGCCTGATTGTTTTGAAAACATCCTTTCAGTTATCAAAGATTATTTCAAACATAAATCAACTTTTTTGTATGTGTTATCTTGTAGTACTGTTGCATTGTGCTGATCTAAAAATAAGTTTGTCTAATGTAATAATAGTGAATTAAAATGTCCAGTTTTATTTTTAAAAAATAGATGAAGTTAAATTATTTTAAACCAACACTTTGAAATCTAGCAATTGGTGAAATGGATCAATTGTTAATGTTTGCTGTTTTAGCTACTTAGATAGGTTTCTGTCTTGAACATTTGTATAACGTGTATTTTTCTAGAAAGTTGTGGTTTAGTGTACAGTGATTGTTTGCATAAGGTTAAACCAAAACAGAGATATCACATTACACCATGTAACTCAAGCCCCTGTTAGACATCTAATGGTCATCTATTTTTAAGAACATAAATTTGTTCTTAGGAGGATATTATACCCAAAATTATACCAAGAGCCTTGGTAGTACTAGGGTTTAAGGCACCCTGTTATTAAGCTGCTTAAGACCAGCTGCCTGCAATTACTGCAGGGTTCGAATCTCGCCAAGGCTCAAGGTTGACTCAGCCTTCCATCCTTTCTAAGGTAGGTGAAATGAGGACCCAGTTTGTGGGGGCAATAAGCTGACTTTGTATAAATATACAAAAGGATGAAGGCTATTGCTGAGCACATTGTAAGCCGCCCTGAGTCTTCGGAGAAGGGCGGCATATAAATCAAATTAAAAAAAAAAAAAAAAAAAAATATTGCAGTCATTTAGAATATGACAACTATAAATTACAGAATGAGTAATTGGGATTGCACAGAAATGATGAGGCGGTTAATATCCTCTTATATCTTGTAATACTTGTCTGAAACAATCTGTATAAAGAAATATTCAGAAAGAGAAGTTGTATCATTCTCAAATAGATTAAACATATATAATTATATCCACTTTATTTATAAAGTGGGTATAATTACCAAGCAAATAATTCAGCTATGGAGCAAATATTTAAGTCCAGTTGTCTTCACTGGAAGATACCTAAATATGCACAGTGCCTATATTTCTTTAATGTTTAGGTTTTATATTTGTGAGATCAACAGTTGATTTGCATGAATGCCGCATAATAATCTCCAAGAAAAACTTTATATGATACATTATGACTAAAATATTTTAGCTTCATCCTCACATCTTACAAAAGTGAAATATTAGAATATAGAATTTTATATATATATGACCTCCAATTTTACACGGGAGAAAACCCGAATAACCAAAGACCTACATTTATACACACACACACACACACACACACACACACACACACACACACGAAGTAATGTAGGATTTTTATGTAGCCTTGTATTCTGTTTTGCCAAGTTTAGAGTAGATTACTTTGGAATGTTTGTAGTGCCATTCAGGCTTTTACATTGGGCCTTATTTACTTAGTTCTGGTAAACATAGAATTCTGTCATAGTACTGTATGCATAAATGAATAGACAGAATAGCAATAGCACATAGACTTATATACTGTTTCATAGTGCTTTACAGTCCTCTCTAAGCAGTTTACAACATCAGCATATTGCCCCCAACTGTCTGAGTCCTCATTTTACCGACCTTGGAAGGATGGAAGGCTGAGGCAACTTGAGCCAGTGAGAATCGAACTGCTAGCAGCCCTCAGTCAGTAGAAGTAGCTTGCAGTACTGCATTCTCGCCAATGCGCCACCACTCAAAAGTCAGCGATTACTTAGTATTATATCCCAATAGATATATCTGCCCAAATATGCCAGGATCAGCAGTTTTAGATCATAAGTCATTGTTCGATTATGAATGTGTTTGTTTGAATATAACACTAAAATATCCTTAAGTTTTTTTGTTGACCAGAGAATATCTAAAGAAATTAAGTGAAGCCAAATGGATTGAATTCACATTGGAGTAAAATTTTGATATTCTGAGAAATCAGAATTCCTGACATATTTGAATGCAGCAATTTGTTTAGGTGGAACCAATTCCAAGCTGAATACTATCCTAAGAAATACATAAGATTCATAGTAAAAGTACTATACAGAGTAATTATCATTATAATATAGAAGTTGAGAACATGGTTTTGCAGCAGGCAGTTAGACTTAAGATAAGAAACTTGTTTTAGTGTTTCTTACTTGTCCCAACTTGATTTTCTATGTTTTAATGCTGTTATGCAAATAAACAGGTATTCAAACTGTGTTTATTAAGCACATGTAATAGATTCTCATTTTCCTGTGGAAAATGCTAAACATGTCTAATGACTTATCTGCACTTTGTAGAACTTTTAAAACTTTTAAAAATACAGAACTAAGTTTTGCTTGTCTTGACAACTAAATATAGTAGTACTTTCTATGAAACCTGTATCAGTACAAAATGTATAATGTATGAAAGGCGTGTATCTTTACAATTATGTGAAGTACAAAATGCTTTAAGTGTTAGACATGGGAAATAGAATATTTTAGATATGTATGAATAAGATTCATATTTTTTCTCCACCTATTTGCATGTGTACAGGTAGTACTTGACTTACAGCCATTCATTCAGTGACTCTTCAAAGTTACAGTAATGCTGAACTAAGGAACGTATGACCCTTCCTTGAAGTTACAACCATTGTAGTACCCCTGCAGTCATGTGATTATGAGCTGGGACCTTGGCAACTTTCTAGGTGCTTGACAACTGGTTGCCAAGCACCCATGATCATGTAAGCAACATTTGCACAGCTTCCCGGCCAGCTTCCCCAGAAGGTCAGTGGGGAAGCCAACAGGGAAGGTCGCAAGCCATTGCTGCCTGCCTAGAAGACTTCCTCTGGTAGTTGGCTGGAAAAGCTCCATGCTGAAATTCAAGCTTTGATATGGAGTACTTTCAGTCAGCCCCTCAAAGTCAAGAAGACTCTCCTTTGGCACTGAACTTTTTCAGTCATCCCCAAAGATGAGAGGAAGGAGTGGCAGCTTAGATTGCTTCATCGCTTTCTGCTTAGATGTCAGTGTGGATCTTTTTTAGCCAACCCCCAGGGATAAGAGAGAGACTTCCCAGTAAGGGGGCTGGCTGAAAACACTGGTGAAATCCGGGCAGAATTTTCATTCACAGAGGATTTTCAACCGCAGAATGTAGAGGCTTCAGAAATCTCTCGACTCTGGGGCTGAAAATCCAAGCAGGTATGAGGCCCTCACCCACCCTCTCTGATGCGTTCACTTACTTCCTTCACCACCTGGTTTGGCTTGGGGCTTGAAATGTAGCATCCCCACTGACTTGATTGTGGGAAACTTGCAGGAAGTTACTTTGGCTATGTAGCATCCCTATGGTCACATGATTTACATTTGGGTGCGTGACAACTGACTCACATGATGATTGCAGTATCCTGGAGTCATGTGATCCCCTTTTGCGGTCTTCTGACAAGCAAAGTCAATGGGGAAACCAGATTCACTTAACAACCATGTTACTAATTTAACAGCTGCAGTGATTCACTTAACAAACGTGTCAAAAAAAGTCATAAAATAGGGCAAAATTCACTTAACAAATTTCTCATTTAACAACATAAATTTTGGGTTCAAAATTGGGTTCAATTGTGGTTGTAAGTTGAGGACTACCTGTATATCTTTTTGGTATAATTGATAATAAATGTTATATAACGTAGAATAGAACCTGGTTTGATTTCTGATGCAGGATTTTCTCCAACTAGGATAAAAACAAAAGTTTTGTAAATAGTAGAAACTACCATTAAGTAAAGTTCATCAATAGGAGAGTCTATATTCCTATGTTTATTCATTTTACTTTTAATACATCTTTCCGTTTTCAAGTATGGATAACCCTTGTTTAAGGACTACAGTTGGAACTGGCTACTCAGTCATTAAGCAAAGCGGTCACTAAGTAAAACCACAAAAGTGCTTATGATCTTACTTCAGCTTTCTTTTCCTGTACAGACCTGCAGAGGTTATAAACGTTTGGTCATAAGCTTATTTTTTCATCTGTGTTATAACTGTGATGGTGGCTAAACAAGGCAGTTGCTAAAAAAAGGACTGCCTGTATGAATGAAATCTCTTGAGCTCTTGCTGTGCTCAGTAGGCTTAGTTGTTTTCTTGCAGACATTCATCATCCAACTACGTAACATCTTCAGTGCTAGTTAGCGGGGTTTGTTCTTTGTTTATATATAGTGGCTTGTCCTGTTAGTGGCATCTGGATATTTTGTCATCTTCTCTGATTCTCTCTCTAGCCCCTGGTATTGCCACATCAATTATCCACTCTTTCTTCTTTTCAACCACAGTTATATCCGGTGTGTTCTGAGACAAGACTTTATCGGTGCGTATTCAGATATCGCACAATACTTTAACCTGCTCATTTTCTATTATTTTTTTCAACTCTGTATTCCTATCAATATTTCATTACTGGCACAGTTGTGAATCATTTTGGCAAGTTTTATTATGACATTGTAAGTTTATGCAATTTTCATATACAAGTTGAGTGTATGAGCTACAATTTCGCTTTATGGCGAAGGTTGT